TCTCAATTCCGCTCTCTCTCTCTCTCTCTCTCTCTCTCTCTCTCTCTCTCTCTCTCTCTCTCTCTCCAGTCATTGACTGGAATGGGGGAGTCCCATAGATTTTCAAACAGTATAGGCTATTGCCTCTGCCCTTGGTTGTCCACTAGAATTGGTAAAACCCTATTGCTGAAGACACTACATATATGATTTGTAAAACAAACAAACTGAAACCAAGCTGGTACTGATCTTGAAGCTTCATCTCTACTGTCTATAGCTTTCATGGTGGTAGAAGGTGGGTGTGCATATGACTGTAAGAGAAAAGTAATCACCAATATTACCCCCTGCTTAGTTATTTTTTTATTGCTTTCACGTCTGAATGTACCGTCTTTTGCCAGATTATGTGCCATCCTTTTCTCTTCAGAAAGATTGTATTTTATGAACTATAGGTCTGTTTGTTTCTTTTTGTCCTTTTGAGTTTATACCTTGTATCGTTCAGTGCCATGGTCTTGGGATTTGGGGTAGAAATGGAAATATATTTATGGATTCATCTTCCTGTTGATGTAGTTTCTGTCAAATGGTTTTTCTTTTGTAAATTAGATCAAAGGTGATTTATGATGGATATTATGCAGCCTTACGTGTCGGAATGGTATGCTGTGAAGACAGATATGTGGAACAAAAAAGTCAGGAATTCTTACTATACACAGAGGTCATAAAAGTTAAGACCTGTATGTCATTAGCTGTTTCAGTACTCAGTTTGGTAAGGAACTATAGTCTCTGTGTAGCTGGTATTGCAGAAGTTTTGTCAACTCTTTCAAAAGTTTTGATTCTCAGGCAGCAAGAAAAAAAAGCAGATACAGATGATTGAAGGGCTATTTTACTTTTTCATGTGTATTTAATTTTCCCTGTCTTCCTATCCTGCCTTATCTTTGTCCTTTCAAACTTACTTATCAAAGTAATCAAAATGTATAAAATTCAGAACTAATTGACTTCCACATCTAAAACCATTTTATTAACCCTTTATAATCTACAAAATCAAGGATTAGCAAACTTTTTGTGAAAAGGTCTGATCGAAAACCTTTATTTTGTGGATCAGATAATCTGTGCTCCAACTCATCTCTGTCCTTATCATGATAAATGAGCCATCTGCTATCCACAAGGAGGCAGGCATGACAGTGTGCCAATAAAGTTTTATTTATATAATCCAGTGGAGGCCTGCTCTGACCTCTGTTCTGTTCTGTGCTGACGACTGTACAATAGGAATGTTAAATCCCCTAAATAAGACACTGTGGACTCTACAGATTCTGACTACTTCTTTGGTATCCTCCTGAAACAATAATGGGCAAATTCTTTTGTTATTCTCCCCTCCTCCCTCCTAATACTCTATGCAAAGAGGTGTTTGTGGTTTTTTCAGAGTTGTTTTGCAACTTGCACTTAATGAATTGCCTGCTTCTCATCATCAGAGTCATATTCATTTTTATTTGGTACATTCTGCATAGTTATTTGATAAATTTTTTTGTAAGCCAAAAGTATGACAACTTTATATCTTATGCAGTAATAGTATGTTCTTTACTTGAAATAGAAAACTGGTTCACTTATTTATTTATTGGCTTTTTGCTGTTGTTGTTGTTGTTGTTATAGTTCTTATTGTTCTAGTCCCAGCCCAATTGGAAGTCCCTGTGTGGACCAAGCTAGCCTTAGTCTCACAGAGATCTGGTTGCCTCTGACTCCTCAGGGCTGGGATTAAAGATGCATTGCCACCAAGAACCAGTGTTGGTTATTTGAATCCACTCATTATTTAAAACTGTGTGTTAAAAAACAAAGTTTATAACTCAGTTTTATAGCTCAGTTTGATATTTGCTTTGTTTTAAAATTTTAGAGACAAATAAAAAGTGGTGTGTTTTGGAAGGAGGCTTCCTGAGTTACTATGAAAATGATAAGTGTACTACACCCAACGGCACCATCAACATCAGCGAAGTTATTTGCCTGGCTGTCCACAAAGAAGACTTCTATTTGAATACTGGGTAGGTCTGTTGAGTATCTGGAATGTTAAATGTGTTAGCAGTTAATGTACTAGATAAGGAGGATTTTGTTCGATTGTAAGTTCTTTCTGTAAAGTTTCCATGATACCTTGAAACCTGCCTGAAATCTCCTCAAAGAAATCTCTAAAAGTTAGTTAATTAGTATAACATTCCATTGTTGATCATTGAAGTACTTTAGTGTCTGATTTATCCATTAATTTAGTAGGATAAAAGCAAAATTCATATATTTATTTAAAGGATGTCATAGGTAAAACAGATGAGAAAAGAAAATATTCTGTGGTGATGGGCTCACATTAAAATAGCAATGTCTAATACGTTAGGTGAACACTGAGCTCTCAACTATATTAAATAGCATATCTAAAGCTAAATTTCTAAAACAAAGATATACTTAGCTATTTCGATGGCCTGAAAAAATTAAAACTAAGTGGATAAGAATTATTTATGTAATATTTCTATAATACTTGAAACAACTTCTGAGGGCTTTTAGAAACAGAATCTGTAATGTATTGATGTGAATGTTCCTTATCATGGTTTACAATGTAATTAATGAAAATGTACAAATATTAAGGTTAAAAACTCTTGGATTAATATTTTAGTGCTTTACTATAGACAATATTTATAATAGTAAATGAACTTTGTTATCATTACTACATAACAAGCAATATATCCTTATTGAGAGTCATAGGTAAAGTTGCTATTTTTTCTATTAAAATTTTTTGATTTTGGTGTTAATAAAATGGAATTATTGATTTGCTCTTTTGATTTAAAATTTTTTCCTGCATTAATGTATTTATTGTGTACGCATGTGTGCCTAGTTACATTTGTGTCTTGGCCTGAATGTGCAGGTCAGAGCACAACTTGCAGGAGTCCATTTTCTCCTTCAATTATTTGAGACTAAGGCAGAGCGGCCAGTGTCTGAACCAGTTGTGCCGTCTCTCCAGTCTTTTTTAAATTGTGCTTATATTCAATTTAATGTGGCTTGCCATGAGTTGTTAAAATAAGTGCATTCTTTGTATTAAATGACTTAATTAGAAAATAAAATGTAATTTAAAGGCATTAATATTGCTTTTTGTTAATATAAGCCGCTTAAAAATTAAACATTCTTGATAAAATGTTAATTGTATGAGAATGCATTTGGAATAAGATTTGGTTATAAAAGAATTGTTGGAACCAAATTCTTAATTGACTTAGTCTATTGCAGAACTTGAACTTTATTTTCTAAATCTAGGCAATAAGTAGTTATGTGTGCCTTTGGTATTTTAGACATATGGCCGACAGAAATGGTAAGAAAGAAATTGGAGAAAGGGATTGTAAATGCTGAGTTTAACTAGAGGAAGAGAAAATTTAAAGAAATGAAGTTACTGGGAGTTGCTACTAAGGAGAATACCAAGTTGGCCGGTTATTGTGGCACATGCCTTTGGTCCTAGCATTTGGGAGGCAGAGGCAGGCAGATCTCTGTGAGATTGAAGCCAATCTCGTCTAAATAGTGAGTTCCAGGCCAGCCAGGGCTACTGGGAGACCCTGCCTCAAAAAGACCAACCCCCCCTGGGCCCCCAAAGAAAGAAGGAGGAGAATACAAAGTCATATTTCAGGGGTTTTAGTTTTACTTTTTAATGAAGTAAGTGGCGATGCTTTTAAATTATTAGGACCTGAAAGAAATATTAAGTTTTGAGGCCAATGAGAAAAGAGGAAGGATTACTGATTATTTGAGATACTTAGATAATAGGTACCTACTGAGCATCTTGTAAGAAAGGGAGCTAGGGGTGAGAAGCTGAGGAAAAGATTCTCCATGTTCTCTGTTATCCTTGTATTTTCTATAGTGAAAAGATGAAATTTTTCATGAGATGAGGGAAACAGATTTTATGTGACAAGATAAGGAGAGGGCTCATAATCGTTTGGATGGTATTTGTTATGAACACTTGGTCAAAGTAAGTCGAGGCATGGTCTAAGATGGAAGCTTTGTCAGGCCAGTCAGTTGATGGAAGTTCAGGGCATCAATACTGTCCTGCTGTAAAGGAATTCTTCAGAAGAATTTTTCTTTTATCTGATTTGGAGTGTTTCGTCTAGCTCATATGTATAAAATATAAACCACTAACAGAAGAAAATGTTGTGTAAATAAGTGCTTCTCATAGCATTAAAAATATACTTGATTAAGACCTTGAATTTTGTGGTATTTGTTTTTATAACAGCCCAACCTAACTGGTGCTGTCTTTTTGTTTGTATGTGCTGTAGACCTATCTTTATCTTTGAGATCTATTTGCCCTCAGAACGTGTATTTCTGTTTGGAGCTGAAACATCTCAAACTCAAAGAAAATGGACAGAGACGATAGCCAAGGTATTTAAATGTTTTGTCCCCCAAATTCAGAAAAGATCCTTAACTTGAAGCCAGTAGTTGAGTTTCAAAGGTCTGTAAAAATTTTATATACAGTTTTGGGAAGAAGTTCTTTAGGTTTTCAAAGATTGTGTTTTTGATGAATGAGGTATTTTCATATTGTATTGTCAGTTCTATGTGCCATTGTATAGGAATATTACTTGTTTATGATGCACACAAAGGGAAAAGGAACAGATTCAGCAAAAGATACAAATGGAAAAGATATGGAAGGTTGACCCTTCAAAAAATGCCACAAATCAAGAAGGAAGATACCTTTCTATTTCACTTCTATACACAGTAAGGGTGGGGTGGGGATAATTGGCCTATGGAGCTGTTTCTTGAAAATATATTTCATCTCTTCAGTTATAAGGCACATAGCTAGTTTAATTGTTTTGATTTTGGAGTTACTTTTAAGTCTTGAAAATAGAGACAATTTTTCTAACTTCCCCCTCTGTAGGGAAGGAATTTCCTATTTTCACTGTCTTTCTTTTTTTTCTGTATTTGTTTTAACAGCATTTTGTTCCCTTTGTTGCTGAAAACTTAACAGAAGCTGACTATGATTTGATTGGTCAACTCTTCTACAAAGACTGCCATGCCCTGGACCAGTGGAGAAAAGGCTGGTTTGCTATGGACAAATCTAGTCTGCATTTTTGCCTTCAAATGCAAGAAGCTCAGGAAGAGAGAATGCACCTAAGACGGCTGCAAGAGCTAAGTACGTGGATCCCTTTGTCTGTGGGCCACAACCCCTGATTGCACGTGGTACTCAGAACTTTTATATCACATTGTGATCACTCACTCCCAGGCTTTTGACTAAGTAGTCATAATAATTGTGTCTTTATGGATATTTTAACACTAAAGAGAAATAGTCATGCCTTTCTCTTCTCTCACCAGCAATCAGCACAATGGTTCAGAATGGGGAAAAGTTGGATGTGTTACTCTTAGTAGAAAAAGGGAGGTAAGTTCCTTTCTGTCTTTTCTTCTATCTCTCAGTATCTGGGAGGACAATATCTTGGCCAAATCTTGGGAGGTTAAAACCATTATCATAAAGCTTGAGAAACTCTCTGATTCATGTAAACTGTATTGAGCTTTCATCATAGAAACGGTATACTAGTAAGGTTACATATTTTTCATATTTCTTTTTAAAAAATTTTTTTTTATTATTTTTATTTTGTGTGTGTACATGCACCCATGTCATGCAATGCCCACAGAGGACAGAGAGGCTATCAGATCCCCTGGATCTGGAGTTATGGACAGCTGCTAGTTGCCGTGTGGGTGCTTGGATTCACACCCAGGTCATCTGCAAGAACAGCCAGTGTTCTTAATTGCTGAGCCATCTCTCCAGGCCTGTTTTTCATATTTCTTATGACAAATTACAATGATCAATTTTTTTAGTGTCTCTTACATCTTTTGTGGAATTCTCATTTAGGTATATCATAGTAGTTTAATGACTGTAAACATATTTTCAGTGTAGATAACTGTGCAAGTGATTTGTAAATGTGAGTCATTCATATCTAGAACTTGATTTCTTGAATTTATTTAGCTCTTCAAGGACTATTAATGAAGCATCTGCTGTGCATCAGCTAGCTGAGGTACCATGAATAGAGTGATTCAAAAGCAGACGAGGTTCCTGCCCTCATGAACCATGAGCAGCAGTGGGGGCAATGGTCCAAGCCAACAACAGCAAAATAACTGTGTTTTATCATATCCGTCAATCTTAAACCCTATGAAGAAAAATAATAAAGCTGAAGAAAAAGAGCCAGCTGGAACAATATTCTTTGTCACTGGGGTGATAGCAGAGGTATCTCTGGTGAAATGTCTTCATAAAGTGAAGACTCATGTCATATAGCACATCAGGTGCTGTATGTTCTTGACACTCAGGCAAGGACAGTTGAAGATGCTAAGAGAAGGCAGAGCTTGGCACAGGCAAGACCTGCAAAGAGTATGCTGTGGCTGGAGAAATTTGAGAGAGAATGGGAGAAATGACTGCGACATATCCCCAGACCAGAGCTTTGGGGTCTCACAGGTCATAATATGTGAAGAATGTATTTGTATCCTGTGAATGGTGTTCAGTAACTCAAACTGAGAACTGGAAGGTGCAATGATTTCATTTATACTTATAAAGGAATCCTCTCTTCTGACCCTGATAAATGAGGTTTGGGAACATGAATTAAACTTGGTGTCCAGTTATAGTTTTCTTACAGACACAGGAGATGGGATACCTGGGAACCCAAGTGTTGAGGAGTGGGTGGAAATACCATGAGTGTAGTGTCAAGAGGCGCTGATAGGTTAAATCAGTGTACTACTCAAGGATGCCCATACAGTTTTGGTGTGAGTAGTCACTGAGCGATGGTACAGTTTTTGAGAAGAATAGAATAGAGGTAGAATATTAGTAAAATTGAAATGATAGATTTAGAACTTGTCTTGGGAAATAGTAAATTGGAGATATGTGTTACATTGTAAAGTGAAAAGTAAGAAATGGAAGAGTTAGAACAAAAGAAATATGGGGATTTGTGTATAGCCAAGTCATTTTCTTCAAATCACCTTGAATAGCTGGCATGTAACACAAGCCATTTAAAAGCAACTGCTTTTAACGTGTTTACATCTCCAATTAGGTTGCATTTCCTATTGGAGTCCTCTCCATCAATAATAACTTAGTAACAGTGATACAATTCTAACAACGTAGAAAATCTACCATGTGCCAAAATACAACTCTTAGAACCTAGTCAACCTGCCAGTGCCCATGAGCTCCTGAGGAAAATAATGCACTTTCAAATAAAAGTCAGCTCGATTGTCCCTTAAAATGTTTAGTTTGTTTAAAATGAAAAAGTGAGAGGGATTAATTTACTAATACTTTTGCACAATTTATTCTCAGGGATCAGTCAAAAGGTAATACCAGGAATCTGGTTATAACATGTTGCCAGCATTTAAAGTTTTAGCATTTATTAGAAAATAGAATGTTTATTTCAAATTTGTAATTTTACTTGAATATAGATTCCTACCCTAGTTATCAATGGAATATAGAGGAAGGAATCAGTAGGTTAGAAACATCCTGGTCTTAGCCGGCAAGGACACGGCGTTATAAACTCTGACAGAATAAAGAATATTCAGTTTTGACAGCACATGTCACCTTGTCTGGTGCAAAGTTGGACCTCATGGTCACTCTCTATGGACACACAAACAACTATGTGTTATGTATTATGTAAATAGACCTCATCTAGGGAAGACTGGGGGAAGAACGGGTTTGAGAGGAAGCATGGGAGACAATGAATTTGATTGTAGACATCTTAAACATGAGGTTCTTGGAACACATTTAAGGATGTTTGTCAGAGAAATCAAGACACTATGCATTTGAGTCAGCTGGTCCAATGACTTTCCAAAATGAGGAAGCAGAGAGCAGGGAATACTTGCGCTGGTCTTGCTTTTGCCTTTTCTTACACATCAGTGACCCAAACCCAGAGAATACTGCCACCCACTTTTTGTGTGGCTCTGTCCAGTTCAGCCAACATACTCTCCCACAGGTATGTCCATAGATAAATATTCACTCACAGATATGCCTACAGTCTTGTCTCCATGGCAATTCCAGGTCCTGTCAGGTGGACAACATTAACTATCACACCAGTTCTATCAAGTGACTTCTTGGGGGCTCTGTTTTTATCCATCCTGGATCAAAGGGCAGTGACAGACACACCAAGTCCAGTTAGGTGAGCCAATGAGTATTGCATTTACCTACAGGAGCCTAGGAATATGGACAACTTATGGCCAGCTACACACCACTGAAGAGTGCCTCCTCCTGCAAGCAGCTGTTTACTACTTTGATATCCTTAGAGAGAGGGGGGTCCACTGAACCTTCCTTCTACAAAGGAATTTTCAGAGTTCAAATCTTGTGAGATTATCATATGAGTGATCACTGTTGCTCTGATCCAAGATGGCAAGGATCAATCAGTTCCAACCTAGAGGAAACAATCATACAAGTACATAGAAGGGGGGTGGGAATATACTTAAGTTGGAAGAGTGCTTGCACACCGTGCACAAAGCTCCATGTTCAATCCTTAGCATAGCATAAACCTTGTGTGGTGGTACATACCTGCAGTCATAGAATTCAGAAGATGCAGGCAGGAAGATCAGAAGTTCAAGATCATCTTTGGATACACAGTAAGTTCAAGACTAGCCTAGGATGCTCAAGACCCTGTCTCAACTTGGAGAATACACATCATTTGAGCTGATATAGAGTGGCCAGGGAAAAGCAGTTGCCCTGAGAGAGATAGCTCTTATTATTTCAGAGTGAGGCAAAAAACTAAGAAAGTGAAGCCACAAAGCTCAGAGAGTACAGATATGTGTCACTTAATTTTACATGTTACGATGTGAGAGATATATATGTGGTAATTTCATCATTGTATGAACATCATGCCATATATTTACACAGATCTAGATAGCATAGCTCTCTCTCTCCCTCCCTCTCTCCCTCCCCCCTCTCTCTCTTGACCTATTGATCCTAAGACAATATTCAACAGTGCAGCATGATAGTAAGTCAGGAACAAGAGAAAATGATACAATCAATAAAGTAAACATGAGATGGATGCTGACCTGTTGTAGCACTGCAAACTTTTATAGTAAATGTCTTTTGTAATGTGTAACAGGAGTCCATGCAAATGATTAAAAAAACATATTTTGTTAGCTGTATCAATGGTAATTCATGGTTTGACTCATGGTTTTAGAGATTTTAAGCCATTTTGGCTGGGTCTGCTGTTTCTGGGTCATACTCAGGCAGCCAATCATCAATCAGTAAATTGTAGCAACTAGTAAACAGAGAGATAGATGTGGAGACAGAGGGAGAAAGAGACACAGAGAGGGGTCTCGAACCAGACATCATCTCTAATGCCATGTCCCAACTTACCTACAATGTACTTTTTTTTAAGAATAACCTCCGAAAGTTTCTAGACCCTCCCAAAGGAGGTTTGTCCCCAGTGTATGAGTGTTTTGGAGAAACACTTCTTGTTCAGAGCATACCATATAATAAATACTGAAACTAGTACCTTAGTCACTTGTTACTATTATTAAGTATCATGACGTATCATAACTTTTCTGTGCTGTCTTCTTAAATAGCTGTCAGCAAGGTACACTTGTTTATACCAGAATCATGATACACACCAGTGATGTGTAGTAGGATGTTAGATGGCTGTGACATAACTAGGTATCTGCAACATTTCAGTTCCATTATCTTTTAGGATCAATGTTATATATGTGATCTCATCATCATCAGAAATGTTATGTGATGCAGACTATATTTTAGGAAGGAAAAAAAGAGATAAGTGCCAAGTGCCACCAAGAGGCTCTCCCCATGAGTTTTCGGCACTTCATAGGATTCGTGTTGTAGAGTCTACCTGGTTACGTCTAGGGAAGCAGAGACGATCAAGCAGGCATACCTACCAGAGTAAGGTTGAAAACAACTAGAAATTGAGGCAGCTGGTGTGAATACTTTGGCAAGGATGTCTGGATGATACTGATATCAGTGGTGTAAGACATTTGACCTAGGAAGGCAATGTCTACCCAGTTTGTTTCAGGATATCTTGGTTTTATATAAGTTCAGGTGATGAAAAGTGACCAGGAAAGGGTGTGGGGGAGGATTAAATATGCAAAGAAGAAACAAGGTTTCTCTGTCAGGACACCATGAAGAGAAGAGCTGATGGATGAGGTGGGATGATGAGCCACCTCTCCCTCTAGTAGTAAGATGTTGCTTTGTGAACTAGAAGGTAAGAATGAGTCCTGTGCTTATGGCCCAAGTGACTGTATGAATAACGTACACTTCTTTAGCTGTGCTCCAACTCTGTTAGTTACAGCTGTGTCTGTTGAAGAGCTGTTTAAATACTATGTCAAAATAAGAGAATTTCATATTACATACTTTTTCATAATGACTCTAAGTTAAAGTAGCTTGTCGGTAGACTTGTGGATACCAGA